TTTCCATGACGAAAAAAAAAAGTAAGACATCGATTGGAACGCGCACCCATTTTTCTCGTTGGCCCACACGATCACACCACTCGGGAAAAAGACTCCTTTTGGGAGCGTCTTCCGTTTAAATATGAGGTACGGGGGAAGCTTGTGCCTATCTGACGTGCAACGGAGCATTGCCGTCACTCTAGTTTTACCGTGGCCTGACGTCAACACGCGAACTTGCTTCGCCCCCTTCTTCTCGACGGTTGTGGTGCCAGGCATGTCGAAGTAAAGAGGCGTCTGATCGGCATTCCCGATTTGCCCAAGTAGGGAGCCATTGTGCCGCAAGTTTAGGACGAACCTCTGAAAACTGAAGCTTTTCTTCGTACTCCTCCGGCAACTTTTGACATATGCCCGTTCGCCTTCAGAGGGAAAAGCCTTTCCTCTTCATAAAGCTAGTTAGCCAGCACCTGCTCGCTTTAAACTGGCTCCGCATTAGCCCTTTTTTTTAGGCTAACTGCATAGCCTGCACTTGGAGCAGTTCTGTCATCACGGGCCACTGTGCCGCTCACTGCTCAAGCACATACTTGGCGAGCAGCTCTTCAATTTGCGGAAACCGACCCTGCTGTGGTCCGCTGAAGCCTTTGCGTGAATCTTTGCTATCGACAACATTCTGCTTTTGTTTCCGCCAGTCCCGCACGCACGCTTCGGGAACTCGGAACGACCGCGATGCAGCCCGATTTACGTCCGTTTCGGCACACGTGATGATTTTTCTTTTAAAAGCGGCATTGTGATGCACTCGTCGAGTTTTTGGAGTCTGCCCTTCCATGCCGTCGATGCTAATCCACACCAAGATGACGAACTCCTCAGCACACGTACGAAGTGCCGCACATGGGAAACACATAGGCAGAAATGGCCGACGCGCCATGCCGACTACAGTGGCTAGCCACTGTAGTCGCAGTTCTAGCCACTGTAATGCCGACGCACGTAGGGGGCGGCCATTTTGGAATGCTGATGGCAATAGAATGACCATATTCATTTTTTTTTTCGTACTCGATTCTAACGCGCATGCGATTTATGAACTCGCTTAACCGGAAAAAATGTGCACGTTAGATTCAAGTAACTACGGTATAGGACCACATGTGGTTCGAGAAAATGCACTGTGATTAAAAAATTGCAAAACATACTCAACTGTTCATTACACTCCTCCATGACCATGATCAGACGAGGCACAATGGGTGGCATGTGAAATGAAGAATGTGGTAAATCCAAGAAAAACGTGTGTCTAACCTAATTAAAAAGCAGGAACACGTAACCAACATTTGTGAAAGGCTTCAATGCCACGTCAGGTTGAACACACTGCTGAGCACCGAGGTCGCATGTTCAAGCTTTTGCTGGTGAACCATTTGCATGGAGTGCTTGGGCAGTTATATTTTCTTCTTATGCTTTTTCTTTCTGCTCTTCGTTTGTGCACTCTACATCTCCTGCTCCGACCTCGTCACTCGCTTTCCAATGCCCAGCACGCCTTTTTTCAGATGCGCGCTTGCTACCGCGTTTGTCACAAATATTTTCCGGCAACTGCATTATAACTGTTCCTTCATAATGGGGGCTGAATGCCGGTTCTGTATTATAAGTAGTTACGTTATAAGTGGTCTACACTGTACAAGGTAACGCAAAGGCGCCGCTGACTCGCCATGAGGGGCCCACGGGAAACAACAGTTCGTGTCAGCTGCCACGCGCCAAAGATCCGCTCATGTCTTATGTGCCGCCACCCAGCCTCGCTGCCAGGTGTCACTGCTGGTGCCACCGCGCTAACCATAATGATGATGACAGTGAACCCTGCGACACGTACCACTCGATGGTTGTTAACCCTAAATGCAACCTATGCGCAATACACTGTGTGCGCTACGAGGTGCAAGCGACTTAACGGGAGGCGATAGCATCTCCGCAAGCTTCACCTGGTGGAAGCCTACAGTTGCATCCAGCCTTAAAAAACTGTTGTGTCACCAAGAAGGCGAAGGACTTGCTCAACCGTTGGCAGAATATGGAGTTAGCAGAGAATGACCCTGTTCAGTAAAGTCAAGTCGACGCATAGCCAGTGGGAACCATCGTCTTTTCTAATGATGACGAGACCAGAGCACAACGGAGTTAGCTTGTCAATCCTGCACTGTCCGATTTGTCCAGCTCGTGGCAGACAACCTCGAGCTTGTCAATCTTGCGCATTACTCCCGCGCTTTCCAATTTGACCAGCTTGTGGTGGACGAGCTCGTGCAGAGGGATGGGTATCCAAGGTTGAGATACCCATTCCTGTGCTCGAGGGCATCGGGTATCAGCCTGATAACGCAGGATACTCATTCCATGCTCAGGGCATCGGGTTGTAGCTGGCTAATGTACTCACCCTTGAGAGTGCCCAATCATTTGAAGAACTCGATGTGCAGCGTCGGTTTTGGATTCTTAAGTTCGTCAAGAAATTTCACTACTTTCATGTCTTAAGTGCTGGAAGTCCTAAAAGAGGCACAGTGAGAGACTGGATTATCTATAGGCACTGGCAGCTTGTTTTTCCTTGCCGCCAAAGTCATGCCAGATACAATGCCTAGTTTTGCATAATGGCTGTTTTCCGTGGTCGGTGAGTGGACTGTCGAATTGATTGAGCTTGGCAGGCAGCTTAGGGAAGTCGCTGGGTACAGCAGACCTTCAGCGTCGGAGTTGACGTTCAACTGTGCTGTGTAGTTGTTAACAGTCACATCGACGAACTTTGCCGCGGCGGGCGTGCCGACGGCATGCAGGTGAACGGACGGAGCTTGTTTTGTTAGTACTTCCGAGAGTTGCAAAATTCCCTGAAGTGACTTTTCTTTTTGCTGAAGTTGCAGGCGGAGCAATGAGCTGGGTAGTACGAACGTGGGTGAGGTACACTTCTGCAGAGTACACATCCGGATGGCTTACGAGAGCCCTTGGCTGGTGGCTATGACATAAGCTTAGCTACGGAGTGTCGAGGTTGAGCTCGCGTGAGTACACGGTGCAGTTCTGGGACAGGTTCTTATCTTTACCGGCGTCTTAGGACTGATGGGCCTGTGTCCATGCCTTAATGAGCGTTAGCTTCGCGTTCCAGCCTAGCTGATCCGAAAAGTGAAAGTTGCGGATGCAGACAACTAGCTGGTCGCAATCAGCCTTTCCTTGACAGCAGCTGACAGGTAGTTGCAGCGCTTAACCATCCTCCACAATCCTGATTAGTACGTGTAGACCCTTTTGCCCAGTAGCTGAACACGCCCGTGGAACCGTGATGACTCGTTACGAGTCATCTCGTTGGCAGGGTGCACAAAGTGCTCAGTGAAGTGGGCGGCAACAACTTGGTATGAGGTGAGCGATAGGGTGAGAAGGGACGTGCCTCCAGGCCAGCAGCGAGCGTACCTGCACATCTTCCAATGCATTTGTCAGTCCCAAAACCGGCGCTAAGTCATCATAGTGGCCGAGTCGTGGCGGCCATGTTTTTGGGTTCGTGATGTCTTACGGTGCCGCTGGCTGAAGGTGGTCACTGTGCAGTTTCAGTGACGCACCGGTTCCAAGGGCTATCGTGCTGCCGTTTCATTATGGTGAGGCTTAGGGCGTCAGGGCGTTATTCTTTCGCTCTCTGTCTCAGGACGTCATCTCTCTTCTGTCCCATGGTTAGTGCCGCTGAAGCTTGGACACGCAGAGACCGATGTGTACATGCTGCTGGCTCAGACGAAAGTGGAGCCCCAGTATTCAGGGCACGAACATATATGAGATGCACTCTTGCATGTTGATGCTGTGGTGGCTACTTTACAGAAAGCACTGGCCTCCCTGCCTTTGGTTACAAAGACTTTCAGAAGGCATCTGTGTTATCGTTCATCACAACCGTGTGCCGCTCATTTTCATTGCACACCTTTCATGTTAATCTCATGATTTTAATACCTACATGTTTCACCCTTCTTTAGCGCGAGGATTCTGGGCCCCTATACAGCCACTTAGCCTAATCATTGTATATACTCATTATCACACACTGGTGCTCTTTGGCCATGAAGTGGGCTTTACGCCAATAACCATCTCATATCACCGTCAACCAGTGATACTAAAATTTTTGTTATACAATGCACTTGCACTTTTTTAGGTGTGCAATTATCGAGGATGGGGTGGGGTTGACCTACATATGAGTCAACTTACACTCGTGTAAATATGGTACATGTTTACATGGTATTTAGACGAGATATCAAAACGATCAGTTTTTTCGTGTACGATTACAACCGATGAGTGAAGCTCCTTAAATTGGAACATAAATGGCTTTGTGCCTGCACTTCGCTGCTGGCTTTCATGAAGGCGGTAGTGTGGGACAACGTTTTTAGAACCAGTACAGTTTTGCAGCTCCACTTGGGAGCCTGCACATGCGACTGACGCGGGAACGCAGAGGCGACATGCATGCTGCAGTGACATGCATGCTGCAGCGACCTGAGATGCGCGAGAAGTAGCCGCTTGTAATGCGTTGCACGTTTCTTTGTGCTCACTTTTTCAGTACTTTGAGCGTGATTTACGAACATATGAGGCATGATGCAAGATGGAACTGCGATGTTGCTAGTGTTTGCGTCAGCTGTTGCATCCACTTTAAAGAGTGTCTATCAGGATCCATCTTGGTAAGAAGTGCAGCCACTATTACACAGAACACACAACACAAGCGCTTAACTTCAACTAAACATTTATTGCTACCGTCAGAGTTCAAACTCTGACATTTGCAATAAACGTTTAGTTGAAGTTAGGCGGTTGTCTTGAGTGTTCTGTGTAACAGTCGCTGCGCTTCCTACCAAGATGCATTCATACCGACCGGCCTGATTCAATTGTTTATTGAGTCTATCGGGAGCTGTGAAGCTAACCTTCTAGGAATGCTGGGGTGGGAAGCGGTGATGCGGCGAGGAGCTTCGACGGCGACGGCGGGGTGTGGGCCTAAAAAGCCTCGCTCCTGAAAAAAAAAAAAAAAAAAAGAGATGAACATGATGCTAAACTGGTGGGGTGGCTTGCAGGAGGACAGCTCGAGCAGTGCACCCTCTGGTGGGGAGTTTGGTGGCAGCCGTGGTGGTCCTGCCTCAGGTGACAGCCCTTTGGCTGGGCTGCGCAAGTTCCAGGACTCCTTTCTTTCTTTCCTCAAGACGCCTCAGGGGGCCCCCACAGCAGAGGACATTGGGGCACCTGCACCTCTGCAGCCCCCACCTCCCCAGCCGCAAGGCCGAAGTGCGAGTGGGAAACCCTGGCTAACCCAAGCCCCTACTGCGACTTCTGCCTGGGTGACAATGGCGAGAACAAGAAGACGCGGCAGCCCGAAGAGCTCGTCTCCTGTTCTGATTGCGGCCGATCAGGTGAGTTCAAGCATGGCTGAAGCAAAGCAAGTGCAGAAAAAGAAGGAATTACTGTATTTATTTGTGTAATGAACCCACTTTTTTTTCAGGAAAGTTTACGCGGATTGGGGCGGAGGGCTCATTACGCGGAAAAAAAAATGTCGCAGGAGTTACAACAGCGAAAATTTCGCGTGACCGCTTTGCTTGTTTAGGCCCGTGATATGCGCAACAAAGCCTTTTTGTAGCCTGAAGCTCTTTTTGTTTCCTCCCGTAACGAAAGCGTGTGAATCATTGCTGAAGTGTCTTCCACCCGCTCGGTTCCAATGCTGCAGCGCTATTGTTTGTAACCAGTGTAACTAGCGTACCGGCCGAATGCGCCATGCGCAGCAGGTGTTTCAACTAATCTCACAACAACAAACCTGACAACAAGAAAGTCACTGTTTTGCCGCTAGGGCGAAGCATGCAAATGCGATAGCAACGACTTAGAATGCACCGCTGAGAAGGGCTAGCAGATTGAAACGTGCCCATGCTGTTCACGCAACCATGACGCACAAAAACAACACACACAGGACAAGAGCGACGTTTACTGCTCGACGGGTAACTCGCTGTTTAAACAAAAATGATGCACTAAATGTAATCACAGGCACAGATGAGTGCAAAGAAGTGTCCCATTTATTACTTTGCTGTGTTTGAAAAGCAGGCTCTTTTCGCAAACTCTCCAGCCAGCAAAGTGATCTTTGTGCGCCTGGCAACTAAACGCAATCGCTCTGGTGTGAAGGCGCGCGATTCTTCTCTCCAAAAGATAACCACAAGCCCCGCCGCGGTGGTCTAGCGGCTAAGGTACTCGGCTGCTGACCCACAGGTCGCGAGATTGAATCCCTGCTGCAGCGGCTGCATTTCCGATGGAGGTGGAAATGTTGTAGGCCTGTGTGCTCAGATTTGGGTGCACGTTAAAACCCCAGGTGGCCGAAATTTCCGGAGCCCTCCACTATGGCGTCTCTTATATACATATGGTGGTTTTGGAACGTTAAACCCCACAAATAAATCAAAGGATAACCACAAGCATCTAAACACCCTCCCCCAATCCGCGGGGCAAAGTATGCGTGGGAGATAAGCGCGTCGGCGCATCTACACGAGCTGGGCACCGAGCGCGGGCAGATTTTTTTCTTTCTTGAGTTTTCATATATATAGATACGTATACGTATACGGTGAGTGAAGCTGACAGCAAAACCCAGCCGAGTGTGTCAATATAATTGCTACCGCAATAACAAAAGCAGCGTCGAATGGCGGCGCACAAACATTGCGGATGCACAACGTGCCATCGGCGCGGTGGGTGCAGTTGCGCTTTGCATGGCCTTTGAGATGGCAAGCACGCAGCGTGTTTCTATGTCGTGTGCGCGCCAGCTTGAAGGCCACGCGCTATGTTTTTTTTTTGCCGCTGTGCTTGCGTGGCGCTATCAGAAAAGAGTTTTCTCCTGCATTTGACTGATTGTGCTTTGCCGTAAAAGGTGTGACTTTCAAATTTTGATTGACGTCGTCTGCGCTTGTGCTGCTCTCAACTGTTTAGCATGGTTGCAAATCTATGTTTTAACTTTTATTGCGTCGTTATTTTGTGATATAATGGCTTGATTTAACACTGTCATTGGCACTCGCTATAAAATGAAGATACATACAAAAAGTTTTTCTTTTTTCAAGGCCAAGCGGAGGGAGGGTGGGTTCATTATGTGAGTGGGTTCATTACGCGAGTAAATACGGTATTGCGTCTTATGCTTTTGTAGGACTGGTGTCTACTTTCTTGTTAACGCACAAAATGGTTACTTTTTCTATGTCTCGGGACGATCGTTTTTGCCAGTTCGAAATGTACTCCACATGCATTGTACCATACCAGATTTTCCGCAATGAAAGCACTTTCCAAAAAATATTTTGTAGAGCAACAAGAATATTTTGGAATGAATAGAAATATAAAGAGTGTGCAATATATGGTTGCTGACTGGTAAACAATGCAATAATAAACACTGCATGTGCAAAAATATACAAAACGAAAAATTCAGCATATACATTTTGAAGAAAAATGACCCAGAAACAGTGTAAAAAATAATGTTGTACAAAATGTTTCTATTCACATAGACAAAGAAAATCAGAACACCAGGTGTTCCAGAAAAGATGGATGCCAGTGATCTGAATACAGTCGAACACGGATATATTGAGCTCGAAGGGGATCGCGAATCAGTTCTATATATGAAAAATTCGATATAAAAAAATAGAGGCCCCGAGAGCTTACCTGTAGTGGATAATCACCTACAGTAGGTGCATTCAAGAATGACAATTGATTCCACACACACGCCACAACAAAATGATTTATTTGTGTGAAATAAATCGCTCATCTTGGCCTACTTTTTGATTTTTGAAATGTTGAAGACGCTATACTCTGTTCTAGAAGTTCTGTGCAGCACTGTGGAAGGTACAGGCCTTCTCAACCAATCAGGAGGGCAAGCACATCTAAGTGTATCCTTCCGCGCCCTGTAGTCTGCTAGTGATGTGCGTTGCAGTGAAAGTGGCAAGAGCGTCTCGGGACACTGTGCAATTGCGCAGTGAGATGAGCTGTAATTGTGAAAGCAGTTAAATATTCTCCTTGGCGCCGTAAAAGTGCGTGTCTTCAAGATACCTGGACGTAGACATTTGAGGGATAGGGTTCAGTGGCTTATGTTTCGATGGAAAGTGCCGCACTAGCCAAATTGAATATGAAGGCACCACACTTTATCAGATTTCGTATACGCATGCCTATGGACATGCGAAGTGTTGCTTGCGTTCGATACGAAATTTTTTCTTGTGCTTTGCTTGTCTCTCTCTGCACGGTGTAACTGCATGCAAGCCGTACTTCAGCACACATAGCGCCCTAATACGCTGCGGATTTCGTGCTAGGCGTGCAAAATTCGCTCTGAGGAACTCAAGCTGAATGGTTTTCGGCGTGTTGTCCTTCATCTCCGGTGCTGTGTAGCTCTCGCCAGATCGATGCCCCAAGTCCTCGATCTCGTCTGACCAATTCCATCTTTCCCATCTCTTTTTAATGTCTGCGGGCGGGTTCTCTTACTACCATCCTCTATTTTCTTCATATCTCTTTCACTCCCCTTTTCTCACCCCATCCCTCTGCCGACCTGTTGAGGTGGCCTCGTAAGGAAAGAGTGTTAGGGGTCGGCACTTTTCTCTTCATTTCCTTTTTGTAACCACTTAGAGAGAGGAGTGCAGAATCTCGCAGTCTAATGCTGCATCTGTGAGTAGACCTCATGCGTTCACAACGCTACGAATAAAGGACGCGTAGAGTGTGTGGTGCTGCTACCTGTAACGGTAACAGGGGGCGCGGTTTACTTGCGATTGTGATTGATCTTGAGTAATCAGGCTAGACGACTATGATAGCGACCTGCTTGATACGCGGTGCAACACTGATTGTCTCGAACTGTGTGCAGTTAGTACTGCACTTGTCAATTAGAATACTTAATTGAAAATGGATGTTTTGTGTGTTATTATACGCGTAAAGTGTGTACTGTGTTATCAAACAGTGCAGACTCATGCGATGCAACAAGACAACTGGCTTCTTTAAATAATATGAGCAGTCACTTGCATGTGGGCAGTGCCATAAAGCTTAAGTGGCGAGGTTTGGTAGAGATATGTTCGTTAAATAGATAAGGTTTACGAGTTTTTCTGCACGACCTGTAGAAAATAAGTATTTTAGCTGCAGCAATTCTTTAAAGAAGTGATGTCCATCTGCCGCCATAGGCCCACATTTTTGCCCATGGGGGACTGCTTGTGATTCCAGAACTACAGAAGCTTCTCGGGCGGTGCTCTTTATTCTCGTAAGCTGCATGAGTCCAACTTTATTTCTTGGAATTCGACAAGTTGTTTCATGCTTGTACGCAGACAGCGCGACTAAGACGAAAAAAGCAGACACATAGACACAAAGAAACTCTGGTTGACAAATGTTTTGTTTTTAACTACAATCAACACAAAACACAATGCATCACATAATATGGAAGCTCATTTAAAAATGAAATTTTTTTGTATTAAGGCTCATTTGCCACCTGTCACACCAATCGGTTATTTTCGTTAGAGTGCTATTGAGCAAAACGTGGTCTTCACTGTTCTGTATTTCCTGATACATTATACAATCATCTGTGAAGAGATTAACTTTACAATCAATGTGCATTATGTCATTGATGAAAATCAAAAATAACAGCAGGCCCATTACTGAGCCCTGTGGGAGGCCTGAATTTACCGGCACAGAAGCAGATTAGATGTTTTTGATAATGACAAATTGTGATCGATCAGATAAAAAGCTCTTTATCTATGCAGTGATGGGATCGTCACCAATCACAGCAGTAATTTTGGCAATTATTTTAGTATGGCACACACAGTCAAATGCTTTACTGAAGTCTAATAGAAGTGCATCTGTTTCATTATGGTTGTTAATATCTAATGCAAGATCATGAACCACCTCTGTAAGCTGAGTGACTGTCGATAAGCCTCTTCTAAAACCATGTCGAACATCAACCAGAATGTTTTCTTAGAAACATGTGGTCAAGTTCTTAAGGGGGGATGCTACACCTTCCAAAAACTCTTTTATTTTTGCGAGTACCTCAGTCAAATTTGCAGAGCCTATGTAGATTTTACTGCTGATTTCAAAAATCTAATTCTTTTTTTGCTGTGACAATTAGTTTTAAAGATATAGTGAACTGCGTCTTTTTCAATTAAGGCCTAATTAGCTAATTAACTGTTACTTGGTTATTGATGTGCAACCTATAGAACCAATTCGGTATGTTCACAGTGTGCAATAAAGTATAAATCATTGTTCTGGGCTATTTCGAAGCAAAGTTGTGGGATGTTGAATATGACATGAAAAATTTCCCCATCTACACTTGAAACAAAAGATCCATTTAGAGAATTTTCTCCAAAAATTATTACAATAAAACTTACTTTACGACACATCCCCTGCATTTATCTTCGAAACAAAAAGAAATCGTAATGAT